ACCCAGAGGACTGGAAAACTGTGAATGCAATGCCCTTGGAGAGGCAAGGAGATAAAAATGGGTAACTACAGGCTAGTTCGCTTAATGGCTATGATTGGGAATCACTATTAAGATGCTGTTACCTTTACTAGACTGATCCTGGGAATGGAGGGACTGTCCTATGAGGAGAGGATGAGCAGGTTGGGCCTGTACTCATTGCAGTTTAGAAGAATGAGAAGTGATCTTATTGAAACATACAACATTCTGAGCGGAGGTGACAAGGTAGATGTGGAAGGGTTGTTTCCCCTGCTGGGAGAGTCAAAGACCAAAGGTTGTTATCTCAGAGTAAGGGGTCACCCATTTAAGAAAGATATGAGGAGGGATTTCTTCTATGAGAGGGGAGTGGATCTGCAGAATTCTTTACCACAGAGGGCCTTCGAGGCTGGGTCATTGAGTATATTCAAGGCTGAAATAGACAGATTTTTATTCAGGAAGGGAATCAAGGGTAAAAGCAAAATCCTACAGATGCTGGAAACCTGAAACAAACCCAGAGAATGGTGGAGAAACTCAGCAGGTCAGGCAGGAAGGGTGGGTAAAGGCAGGAAGGGTGGGTAAAACACAATTAGACTGATACACCTCCCCTCCCTCACCCCATACACATGCAAACTCCACCCCCCCATCCCCCCCCGACACACACAGACACACTCATTCACATACACACACACAACACACACACTCACACACACACACAGACACACACACACAACACACACACACACACATATATATGCACACTCTCTGTTTCACCCACACACAAGTGCACACTCTCTCACATTCTCAAACAGATGCACAAACTCTCACTCGCACACACACACGTAAAACTATAAACACACACACACACTCAACTCACACACACGCACACACACACACACGCACACACTCACACACACGCAGACACACAGTCTCACACACACACACACACACACTCACACTCACAGTCACACACACACACACACACACACGCACACATACACACACGCACACACACACAGACACATGCTCTTTCTGTCTCTGTCTCTCTGTCCCACACACCCTAACACAGGGATGGAGAATTAGGCCAGTTACCGTTTTCACATTGGAAGTTGTTCCCACAGTTGACTGGTGGCTCTTCACAGTTTCCGGAGAGTGGGCAGGACTCCTCTGTAGATAATATGTCTGTACAAGTCCTGCCCCCAAACTGCCCAAACCGGACAATATGCCTGGACCGATACTGTACAGGAAACAGAGAACATTCAGATTGTCTGAAAGTACACCAGGAATCTTCTCCACATTAAAAGTGCTATATAAATGCAAGTTGCTGTTACAAACACCTGCATCAAGGCACGGAAGTGAGTTGTGTTGTGTAAATGCTTGATTGTTATCTCACAGTACATTACAAACCACTTCCATCTGTAAGGAGACACATGGAAACACCACCCTCTCCAAGTTCTCCTCCAAGCCTCTCACTGTCCTGCCTTGGAAATATATCACCATTCCTTTACTGTCACTGGGTCAAAATCCTGGAATTCCCTCCCTAAGGGACATTGTGGGTCAACCCACAGCACATGGACTGCAGTGGTTCAAGAAGGCAGCTCACCCCCACCTTCTCAAGGGGCAACTAGGGATGGGCAATAAATTCCACACTAGACAGCAAAACCCACATCCTGGGAATGAATTTGTGCACAAATGTGATTATAGGTCAAGATTGAAGTGGGCTTTAGCATCTGCTGCAGTCTGGCTGTAAAGAAAATGGCCCTCTCTTACCCTAAGGCCTTGGCATGGCTGACAGGATGACCATTGACCCCAGGGTGAGAGTTCACAGGCAATCTTAGCAGGAGTATTCACGGCTCTCTCAGCTCTGCTCCGAGGTGGGTCATTGTCCAGCGCAACCCTGAGAATTGAACAAAAATTAATGGCCATCAAGAATCTGTTGGCTTCTCCCTCACTGGGTCATCTCAGACTCCAGAAACCTCCACTGGGGGTGTATTTTCAATAAAAGAAGAAACAAGGTGAAGGGGCAGATCACAGACACACTAGCAGAGCTGTAAGTTAGTAAAGAACATGCAGAAATAATCAGGAATAACTTGAAAGAGCAGAAAAATTGGGAGCATCATGTCCTCTAGGAAAGAGCAGCACCATGTGATTACAGACAGGGAATGGAAGATGAGGGCAGCTGTGGGATTTATAAGGAGCCTGTGGAACATTTATTAAAGGTCACAGATGTTTATGCAACAACGCCTCTTCTTTCTCAGACAACTCAGGAAATTTGCCATGTCCATAAGGTCCCTCACCACCTTCTACAGATGCACCATTGAAAACATACTGTCTGGGTGTATAACGGCCTGGAATGGAAACTGCTCTGCCCAGGACCGTAAAAAACTACAGAAGGTGGTGTGCACAGCCTAGACCATCACAGAAGCCAACCTTCCATCCATGGACTCTGTTTATACGGCTCACTGCAGCAGAAAGGCGGCCAACATCATCAAAGACCCATCACACCCCGGTAATGATCTCCTACAGCCTCTTCCATCAGGCAGAAGGTACAGAAACCTGAACACACGCACCAGCAGGTTCAGGAACATCTTCTTCCTGGCTGATATCAGAGTGATGAATGGATGCCAGCCTCAAATAATGTAACCTGCAACGTAACCTGTATGTCTCTGTCTTTTTGATCTGTACATCATTTGCTTGCTGTGATCTGCCTGTACCACTCGTAAACAAAGCTTTTCACTGTATTTCAGTACACTTGACAATAAAATCAATCCTAACAAAACCAATCCTAAACAGTGGGGGTACGAATATCATTAAAGATGATGAATTGGCCAATTTAAAGGAGGAAACAGTGGAGGGGTCACTTAAAGGGAATATGTATTTGAAGTAATGTGTTCAGTTCTAGGCACCTTATTTAAGGAAGGGTGTTACAGCCCGAAAGAGAGTGCAAAGGAGATGTACTAGAATGATATCAGGAATGAGGTAGATTAGATATCAGGAAAGATTCGAGAGATTGAGTTTATTCTCCTTGGAGCAGAGAAGAATAAGAGGTGGCCTTACTGAGGTGTTCAAAATGATGAACAATTTTGTCAGGGTAAAGAAGGATATTCTGTTGCCACGAGTTGGTCTGTCAGTAACTAAGGGTCACAATGTCAGGATTGTCAGTGAAAGAGCGAGGAGTGAGATGAGGAGAAACTTCTTTACTCAGAGAGTGCTGGGGTTTGGAATGTGCTGCTTGTGAGAGGGGTGGAGGTGGATTCCATAGGAGATCTCAAAAGGGAACTGGATAGATATATATAATATATAATATGTACGAAAGTGATGAATTTGGGAGGCTATGGAAATAGGGCTGGAGAGTGGTATTAGCTGGATAGATCTTTCAGGAGCTGGGTTGAATGGCCTCTTTCAGTACCGTAAAACTCTATGTGTCTATGTATAAGTGTTGATGTCAATGTGAGAGAGTATGGAGGATATTTAACTGGGGAAGGACAGGAAGTATTTAAAGTAGTGATGGAATTTAAGGGGGTTATGTAGAGAGTATTTTCTATTTAAAGGGTGTAATTGTGAAGGAAGGAATTGGCGTATTTAAAGGAAGCAGATTACAGCACCTCCTCCAGTGGTCCCCAGCATTACAGATACCAGTCTTCAGCAAATTCCCTTCACTCCACGTGATATCAAGAAACGGTGGAGACACTGCATACTGCAAAGGCTATGGGCCCTGATGACATTCCGGCAATAGTACTGAAGACTTGTGCTCCAGAACTTGCCGCTCCCCTAGCCAAGCTGTTCCAGTACAGTTACAACACTGGTATCTACCCGACAATGTGGAAAATTGCCCAGGTATGTCCTGTACATAAAAAGCAGGACAAATCCAACCCGGCCAATTACCGCCCCATCAGTCTCCTCTCGATCATCAGTAAAGTGATGGAAGGTGTCAGTAACAGAGCTATCAAACAGCACCTGCTCAGCAATAACCTGCTCAGTGATGTCCAGTTTGGGTTCCGCCAGGGCCACTCAGCTCCTGACCTCATTCCAGCCTTGGTTCAAACATGGACAAAAGAGCTGAATTCCAGAGGTGAGACGAGAGTGACAGCCCTTGACATCAAGGCTGCATTCGACCGAGTGTGGCATCAAGGAGCCATAGCAAAACTGGAATCAATGGGTATCGGGGGCAAACTCCCCAGTGGTTGGAGTCATACCTGGCACATAAGAAGATGGTTGTGGTTGTTGGAGGTCAATCATCTCAGCTTCAGGATATCTCTGTAGGAGTTCCTCAGGGTAGTGTCCTCGGCCCAACCATCTTCAGCTGCTTCATCAATGACCTTCCCTCCAAGATGAGGACAGAATTGGGGATGTTCACCGATGATTGCACAATGTTCAGCACCATTCGCAACTCCTCAGATACTGAAGCAGTCTGTGTTCACATGCAACAAGATCTGGGCAATATCCAGGCTTGGGCTGACAAATAGCAAGTGACATTCACACCACACAAATGCCAGGCTATGACCATCTCCAATAAGAGACAATCTAACCCCCATCCCTTGACATTCAATGGTGTTACCATCACTGAATCCCCCACTATCAACATCCTGGGGGTTACCATTGACCAGAAACTCAACTGGACTCACCGCATAAACACAGGGGCTACAAGAACAGGCCAGAAGCTGGGAATACTGCAGTGAGTAACCCACCTCCTGACTCCCCAAAGCCTGTCCACCATCTACAAGGCACAAGTCAGGAGTGTGATGGAATACTCCCCACTTGCCTGGATGGGTGCAGCCCCAACAACTCTCAAGAAGCTTGACACCATCCAGGACAAAGCAGCCTAGGAGGCAATGGCCTAGCGGTATTATCGTGGGACTGTTAATCCAGAGACCCAGATTGGACCTGGTTCAGATCCCACCATGGCAGATGGTGGAATTTGAATTCAATAGAATATGTGGAATTAAGAGTATAATGATGACTGTAAATCCATTGTCCATTGTCCATTGTCCATTGTCCATTGTCGGAAAAACCCATCTGGTTCACTAATGTCCTTTAGGGAAGGAAACTGCCATCCTTACCTGGTCTGACCTACATGTGACTCCAGACCCACAACAATGTGGTTGACTCTGAACTGCCCTCTGGGCAATTAGGGATGGGCAATAAATGCTGCTCAGCCAGCGACGCCCTCGTCCCATTAATGAATTAAAAAAAAGTCCACTTGATTGGCACCACATCCACAAACATCCACTCCCTCCACCCCCGACGCTCAGTGGCAGCAGTGTGTACTATCTACAAGATGCACTGCAGAAATTCACCAAAGATCCTCAGACAGCACCTTCCAAACCCACGACCACTTCCATCTAGAAGGACAAGGGCAGCAGATACATGGGAACACCACCCCCTGCAAGTTCCCCTCCAAGCCCCTCACCATCCTGACTTGGAAATATATCACTGTTCCTTCACTGTCACTGGGACAAAATCCTGGAATTCCCTCCCTAAGGGCATTGTGGGTCAACCCACAGCACATGGACTGCAGCAGTTCAAGAAGGCAGCTCACCCCCACCTTCTCAAGGGGCAACTAGGGACAGGCAATAAATGCTGACCAGGGAACAACATGTATGTCCCATGAATGAATTTAAAAACTGTTGGTAAAAGTATGTAAAAGGAGGAGAAATGCAATGGGTTTTTAAATTGGTGACGGTATCTTTTTTTTCTTTATTCATTCACGGGACGAGGGCATCGCTGGCCAGGCAGCATTTATTGCCCGTCCCTAAAATTGCCCAGAGGCCAGCTGAGAGTCAACACATTGCCATGGCTCTGGAGTCACATGTAGGCCAGACCAGGTAAGGATGGCAGTTTCCTTCCCTAAAGGACATTAGTGAACCTGATGGGTTTTTTTTGACAATCAGCAATGGAATCAGGGTCATCATTAGACTCTTAATTCCAGATATTTAATGAATTTAAATTCCACCATCTGCTGTGGTGGGATTTGAACCCAGGTCCCCAGAACATTATCTGGGTCTCTGGATTAACAGTCCAGCGATAATACCAGTTAGAAAAATTGGAGATTTTGGGAGCAGCTGTATTCTGTTTTTGTTCATGGTTAAAATGCAGCATGGCTGAATCTGGCCTAGGTTTGGTGGTATCTTGTTGCTTGGAATTGGTGCCAACAGAATTAAACCTCTCGAGCACATTACCTCTACTGACCTCTGAACGGCTGGCTTGTGAAAACTGAAAGAACTTTGGATGCTGGAAATCAGAAACAAAAACAGAAGTTGCTGGAAATGCTTAGCAGGTCTTGCAACATCTGTGAAGAGAAATCAGAGTTAATGTTTTGGGTCCGGCGATCCTTCATCAGAACTAATGGTGGCTGGGAAACTGTCTGTTTATATGCAGAAGCTGAGGGGGGGGCAATGGCCTAGTGGTATTATTGTTGGACTGTTAATCCAGAGACCCAGGTAATGTTCTGGGGACATGGGTTCGAATCCCACCACAGCAGATGGTGGAATTTAAATTCAATAAATATCCGGAATTAAGAATCTAATGATGATCATGAATCCATTATTGATTGTCAGGAAAAACCCATCAGCTTCCCTAATGTCCTTTAGGGAAGGAAACTGCCATCCTTACCTGGTCTGGCCTACATGTGACTCCAGACCTGCAGCAATGTAGTTGACTCTTAACTGCCCTCTGGGCAATTAGGGATGGACAATAAATGCTGCCTAGGATCAAAAACAAAGTTGCTGGAGAAGCTCAGCAGGTCTGGCAGCATCTGTGAAGGAGAAAACAGAGTTAACGTTTCAGGTCCGGTGACCTTTCCTCAGAACTGTGCTGCCTAGGGTTTAGGGGAGGAGGTAAGGAGTAAAGGATAGCTGGGGATAGAGCCCAAAGAGAGAGAAGAACAAGAGAGTGAGT